GTTCCAGAAGTACTATCAACTACTGGTTTGTTTTGTTCAGTGGGTTCATTTTCTACTTTTGGAACTTCAGTTGCAGATGCATTCTCTGACTGAGGACTATCCTGATTATTTTGTTCTACTGGTGTCTTATCAGATTCCGGTTGGTTATCAGTTCCAGAAGTGCTGTCAACTACTGGTTTATTTTGTTCAGTAGGTTCATTTTCTACTTTTGGAATTTCAGTTGGAGATGCATTCTCTGACTGAGGACTATTTTGATTTTCTATTTTGGGAAGTTCTGTTCCAGATATAGCTTCTTCCTGTTTATCGGATGGAACAGTTTGAATGTTTATTTCAGTAGATATCTCAGAATTTTCTAAATTGCTTTGCTTTGGAGGATTTTTATTTTCATCAGATGCTGTTTCAATATCTGGTTTAGTGTTTGAGTGCTGATCTGGTGTTTGTTCTTTGTCATTTGATTTTATGGGCTCTTTTTCAAGTTCAGAGTTATTTTCGTTAATATTATCTTCTAGAGGCTTATCTTGGATATTTGAACTTTGTGTGCTGCCTTCTATTGAACTATCTGTTGACGAAACCGGTAAATTGGATGTAATTGGGGTTTTATCCGAAATTTCGTTACTATTGTTTTCTTCATCAACCTTATCGTTATCGTTTTTATTGGAAATCGTCTGAGTAGAAGAAATAATAGGATTTTCATTTGTTGAAGGATCAGATGCCGGTAATTGCGTTGGTTGCACTTGGTCGATTAATGTTGGCTCATCAGGTTTGTCAGTACTGTCATAATTAGCTTGTCCAGATTCTGTACTTAAGTTTTCCTGATTTGTTAAATTTGGTGTGGAACTTGACGTTTCCTGCTTGTTTTCTTCATTGGAATTGTGTGCACTATTACTTTCTGGTATGATATTTGTTTCTTTTTCTGTATTATAATTGTCTGGAGCAGTTGTGATGGTATGATCAGACTCAACAACATCATTTTCTTCGTCATGTTCAATCGTTGGTTGGGTTTCCCCTAGTTTATTGTATATATCTTCATTAATAGGGAATTTTTCGGCTTCATTTTCATCCGAATCACTTAGCAATACTGGTTGTAGCGTAGTTATGTCATATGAATTGCTCGTCTCGTTTGCTATAAAATAATAATAAAAATACTTTCAATTTAATTTAAAGAAATAGTTTTAATGAACATGTTGTTTTTTTTTTTACAAGCAGTCATTTAATTATACAATTTATATATTTTATTTATATTTGTAATACATACCGCATTGATACGATGTAGGGCAACATTGACCTGCTGGTGGTGTTTCTGGTGTGCAGTCTTTTCCTCGGAGTGGTTCACCGCAGTCTTGAACTGCACATACGATATCACCTCTCATACAATAGCAATGTTCACAAGGTTTTTCCGAAACCATAGGAATAGATTCTCCATCTTGGTAAACGTCGTCGTTAACTCGGCAATCGAATGGCGCGGAAGTAGTGGAAAAAACTAGTCCACCGGTGATTTGTGGAGCTGAAGTAGTAGATTTTTCACTTTCATAATCTATGAAAACGATTGAGATATGATATTACTATTGTTGAGATGATATAGGTACACACACTCACCCCGTTAAACAGTGAGTTTTTTAAGTACTTCTACAAACTTACCACAATCGTATCGAACAGGACAGCAAACACCTTCATGGTATACTGGTCGACAACCCTCCACGTGCAACGTACACTCTTGCATTATGCAAGCTGTTCGGTTTCTAATACAATAACAAAGTTCACACGGTTTTTTCGGATTGGGTGGAACCTGTGTACATGAGCGAATAGAAACAAATATAGTATAAACAAATATCATTCATAAAACTTGACTAAGAAACAAATAATCGTTTCCAGACTCACCTGCGCTCCATCTGGAAAGAATTCGTTTTCATCCATCATGCACCCATAATTGTCGTGCCATCCAATTTCAGTTGTTGTCGTCGGCGTCGGTGTCGTTGAACTGGTTAACAAGTGTACTGGCACTGTAACATCCGAACCAACTGGGTGGCTTATTGATGTACGAATAAATACAGTTGTATTTTTATATTTAAAAACATACCTTCTGGGCAAGATATGACGGGACAACATTGATCCGGTGATTTTTGTACTGTACAGTCTTGTCCAATAGCTTTTGAAAACGGACACACTCGAAGGTAGCACATTAACATTCTATTGTGGCAAGTACAGTTTAAACACGGTTCGTTGGTCACTATGCGATCACCTTCTTCGTAATGTTGATAATTATAGTAACAACCATTTGGGTCTAAACAAAAGAAATATATTATTAAAACTCGAAAAAATAATCCTTTTTATGAGTTTTATTATCTAGTGAATTATAATAAAAAACATATTAGAAGTCTAGTTAAAATATATTTTTTTTATTTATTTACGAAACCAACAATATATAGCGCTTCAATATAATAGACATAAATTTAATGTTAGTTTAATAATTGACAAATTATTTAGACCCTTGATATAGCATAAGAAAAGTCGAAAAACTTACAAAATATTAAAACATGATTATACAATTGAATTTTTGGTTTAATTTCCCGTAAGTTATAAAACTGAATATGATTATAATTTAAATTTATAAACAACGAAAATTAAAATGTAATTTTTATGTATTAGTTATTAATTATTATTATTTAAACTAATCTAATTATTATAAACTGTAACATTGTATTCCATTTTACTACACATGTATCCCTATCAACAAAAATGTAAAAGAATTATTAAAAATGTAATTTTAATTGATAAATGTAATAATAGAATTGCACTTGAAGTATAAGTACGGTAATAATACTTAACTATCTATTTTATCAAATAAAATAAACTGTTTAAATTTTACTTTGAGCAAATGTGTATGAAAAAACACTGTACTTGAGTCAGTGTCGACACCGGTGTAGGTGTTTTGCATAACCGATCAGCCTGCTTCTGATTTTAATATTTTTAGATGATATTTTGTATTACACTTTATAAAGTCATATATTTAAACTTTGATGTTCAATAATTATAAAAATAATTCTTCAGTTTTTAAAGCTAAGTATCGATGTACCTTTTTGTACTTATTTTAGTTTTTAATAACATAAATAATAATTTAGTATAATATTTTAAGAAATGCGGAAAATTAAAAATTATAATTTAACGCACTAGTAAAACTTTTTTTTCGTAAATTGTTTTTAGTATTAAAAACCTCAAAGAAAAACACATATTTGATTTATTTATTTCTAAACTCATATTATTGAAGACGATTTGTTTTGATCTTGAAAAAATTAATCTGTACGCTTACAGTAGAATGATAATAGATAACAATATGATACTTACCATTAAAATAGTCCGCCAAGTCTGTTCGTTTTGCTTCAATTTCATCGTAAGTCGTCGGAGCTGAAACACAAGAAATCATTTTATTTTTTTTACTTTTATTATATCTGTTTGGATTATGTGTTCATATTATGTGTGGGAAAAAATACCATTAAATGAGGGTTAAGCCTAATAATGTTATTGTAATAAAGTACCCATAAAGGAAAAAAAATATATTTGTTGACAATAATGACTACTTGCAAGTGTGCAACAATGTTATAACAACGCAATAGTGCGTAACTCATATATGCGTATACTTTCATGGAAAAACGATGATGACTAATAACGATACAACACCATCAATAATAATAATAATTATTATTATTGCTTATACCGTTAAACAATCTTGTTTTCATACATCCTGTACACAACAATGGTTTACCGGGCATTTTATAATAACAACTATCTATAAATATAATTTTTTCTTTTGTTTTTAAGTTGTGGAATATAAAAATAACGAGCATAATATGAGCGAAGACGTTGATCGTACGTCGTGGTAATAAACTGTAAATGTAAATTTATACTATAGGTAATTGATTTAAATCAATTTATTTGAAAATTGTATATTTTACTTAGTTGCTTGTGTAATACATAGTGAGGGACCTAATATAACAATAAATTTAAACAACGATTAATAGCAAATTTTTTTAAGTTATAATTTAAGTGTATCTCACTTTTAAATATTTTTGTTAACCTTAATATAATAAGAAAAATTTACCTTATGCATAAGAGTATAATGCCATAACGAAATTTAAAAAACAAAAACACATAGAATAATATATAAAAAACAATTTAATGTTTATCCCACTAACAGGAAATAGTATTATTATATACACTGTGTAGTGTTTATAGTACCTACAATATTATACTGCATTATCATTAAAAATCACATTTTTACGTAGCTGTTTTATGTACCCTACCAATTATACTATTATGGGTATACAGTATATTATATACAACGAGTTGGTGTTACGACAATCGCTGCAGCTATATCAATGATTTATGGAAAACGGAATTCGATCGATCCAACCGATCTTTGCACGGACGGTACGACGATAGATTATAGCAGGTTTATAATCACACACGGTGTTTTCCTATAATCGGCAAAACCGCCGCAGAGCGTAATCTTTGAACCACGCGATCGATGACTTACACGCGTTTAAGGGTCTCTCTAACTGTACTTGTGCCATGTTTATTTTTTGAAACGTTCGGTCGCAACCAAATGTGGGACAAGCACGTGGTTTTTACGTATCTAAATATGACCATATGAGTATAATACATTATATATTATTATATCTAAGATCGAACGAGATTTAACGGCACCACTCGGCGATAAGAACATTTTTTATAAAAAACACGTATATTGTTATTATGTACCATAATAACACAAAACCGGTTGTCTCAAAATAGAGACGAATAATATCGTTATAACGATAGAAATTGAAAAAAAATCGGAGAGTAAAACGTAGTCTACAATAATATTATAGACTCGCTGCCGTGCTGCAACTGTGGCGATATTTTGCATTTCCTGGTACGCATGCACACGCGATAACTGTGTATAACTCCACCTATAAACCTAATCATATGGATAGTACTACAGATGGGATACGACGATCACGGTAATTGATGGTTCTGAGACACTATAAATAGCGGAGAGAACAGAAATTTCTCAAGACATTGACCCGCACAAATAATGCATGTGTTTTTTCTCGTTCCGCCCTAGACGTTTAAGCTTTAAAAAAGCGTTAATGGACGTAGTACGCCATTTATATACTACTCGACTGAAACGAACGAACTTATTTTACACTATTAAAGTATAATATAAGTCTATAGATAAGCCGAAAATATATTTTAGATTCACGGTATACTATTACCTAGGAACAGAGGCGAATTTGTCTGTTTTGTGGATGTAGGCATTATATTTGTAATTGTATTTAAACTGTAAATTATATTATTTTAATTATACTTATATAATTTATCACCCATAAATAAAATAAGTTTACTTGCTATGTAAATATTATCAAACTTTAAACACAAAATTCAATCAAGAAAATAGTAAAGAATAAAGCAAAATATTAAGTATTTCATAATATACGAGTATACTACCTATTAATATACGTACATCATCTTTTTGTATAATAATGTTTTTTTATAATATACTAGCTGTATAACTCGACTTTATCTAGAAAGAACTAAACAAAAAAGTGCTTTATTAGTTTTAATGCATCTTAGTTCATTAAACCTTACTGATATCTGAATATTACGGAATAAATAATTTGGTATATTTTTGAACGTGGTTTAAACTCTAACTCTCTAAGTTTTCCTGATATCTTTGAAAACTATTTTTGAAACATTTGTCAAGTAGGTTTTGAGTCTATAAGGTATACGCATAAAAACGTTGTTGACTTTTTTTGTACATCTGAATAACAACAAACAATAAATTAGATATTATTTTATTTCATTTAAAAAAACGTATTTCACATATTTTTAATATTTTAAAAGTTTAAAAAGTTTTTGTTTTTCGGATATTAATTGACGATATCATGATTACCTTCTGGCACCTACGGTTATTTTTTTCTCATGTATGTCGATTTTGATAATAATTTAATTTACATTTCAGCAAAAGAGTATATTTTAAATCATTATTTTTTAATAATCAATAATTTTGGATACCATAACATTTTTAAGAATCTTCAAGTTAATTTTCTAACCGTTAATGTATAAGTGTTATGTGCATATTAACAGTTATGTGCACAGTTTAGTGTAGTAAATTCATAGCCTGGTTATTATTTACTGAGTATAATATGATAATATCACCTAATATCAACTGAGCCATATGCGTCAATATCCCGTTTGACGCGCGGTCGTTTTGACATTATAATTTGTATTGTTTTTTAAGTTTTTTTGCGTTGTGTTAATAATGTTGTTCGTCGCGTATTATGTACGCATTAATGTTGTGTCCACAATTGAAGTCCGCAAACAACGCGTTATTGAAATTATAATATATAATATTATCGCCGCTTGATAGGTGATGGTATGTTGTATGCCTAAAAGTATATCCTGTGCCTTGGAAAACTCACACAATGACCCGCGACCCGTTATTGCGACGATACCGAAAAGATATGATCTATACGCATGCTTTTCGACGCCCATCGCCGAACACCATCATCGCAGTCCACCGGCGTATTTTCATAAGCAAAATAAAATTATTCTGGAAACGCGTTCTTAATGATGTGTGTGATGATAACGGTCCACTTGGACTAGACTTCCGTGGATTTTCTCACGGCATTAAACGCAAGCTATACTTTTCGATATTATAGTACACCTATTTTTCCTCCAAAATGTAATAATAATAATAATAATAATAATAATACTTTTGGTAATATTATTTTAACTCCGTCGCACGCACTCATTATTACTTGTTAGTGTAATCATTACGGACGGGCCGCGTCTTAACAGTTATGTGGACACGCGAAACGCCCCGCGGAAACGAGACCGGTATGATTTCATAACACCAGAATATTATAATAATACCGTACCCGAACATCTACAGAATCCACCGATTCTAAATGATATTACATACGATAGGTGATTTTGTAAGAATGTTTTGTCGTGTTATATCTTATGATTTATCGTATATAATGTATAATTTGATCATCGGAACATTCGAGTTCATTCGGTCATCTGGTTGTTGCCATTTTTGTAGTTTTTTTGGATATTCATTTGATTTATTCGTTTTCGCGAAGTGTGAGATGATATTAATAAAAATGATAAATTATAACAACGGACATGTAATAATAATTGATGTGTGTTCGTTAGAAACCATCTATAAATAGGACTATAAGTGGTGAGTTTTTTCCAGTGGTCCATCCGTGGTATAAATAAACGAAATGCTGTCGTTGGACAATTTATAAACTGTGAGATCAAGCGAATTCATGTTCGTTTATTTTCGTCTTAAATAGCGTCGCACAAAAACCACTCGTGATCGAGATTCGATATTTTTGTTATTTTAAATAGCCATTGAGCTGCGTCGTAAATTATTATAATTACTTATGTATTACCTATACCTACGTGGGAAACGTGCACGAGTGTGGTGTGCCTGGCGTGGCGATTGAGAGCCAACAGAGAGCACCGATTACGCGAGAATCGTGAACTCTGCGTGAAACGTCGTTTTACGGCCAAGTTCACGGATGTCCGATTATTGTGCCCCACGGGTCTTCTCCGCAACTAATGGACGGCCGCATTGTGTGCAGTTGCAGCGGCAACGCGCCTAACGTAATTGCCTGTCCTTCACACCAACATCGTCTCATAAAATACATTATTATTATTATGTACAAAACGCTCATCAGTTTTTTGAACGACGAAAGCGTTCTATGCATCGTGCATTTTCGTCTTTAACTCGTACGACGCATGACGTAACATGGATGTATAAAAAGTTAGTGAATGACGGTTTAACCAAGTCGATTAAATGTTTAAGCCCAATACTCGAATACTGCAGAGATTAAATTCAGAAGCTATATTTTTAGTTGAAATACAGGCTCAACGTAGTCTTATTATATAAATAGTTAGAACACGACAGAGTAGAGAACATAAACTGATATTCTTGTATAATTGTATGGCTGGTAAGCGTTGGTATATTTATATGTTTTTACACTGGTACTACACAAATGTATTTTCGTTTAAGTCTACTTTACTTATTCTCAGTCGAGTGTTATTGTCCTTTAGAATTCACTTCGCGTATAGGACTCATCTTCCGGAATAGTAAAAGCAAAATATTTTTATTTTTTATAAACTTGTTTTATCATTTTATACGAAAAGAGTTTATAAAAATTATATGTATATATCTAATAATATATACGTATCTAGTATATTCCTACGATAACCGCGAAACAATGGGTAGCGGGCGTCGGCGGCAACTAAATCGGACCATAAAAGAAAATAATACGAGAGATAAAACTTTGTGTCATCTACATTGTCTCCCCTACCTTGACACCCCCGCACCCTTTTAATCGCATCACCGTAACGGGGCGGCATCGATAGTTAACACACACATGTGTACTATATATTTAATATTAAAGAGTGCGCGTTGTTCTACGCACAAAGACCGTATAAAATGCAAAACTCGTGTGACCTTTACTCTTCTCTGGTCTGTGTCTCACGACAATCGTTTTAATGTTATGCGTCCGTCTTTGCGGTGAACTTATAGCGCACATTTTGCCGCCAAAGCGATTGAATGCTAAATCTTATTCGTTATAGCCAGCTGCTGCGGTTGCAGGTATTCACCGTTGTCGATATTATATATTATTTTATAAATGGCGAAGATGTCAGAGCGCTGAATAATTCATTGCACGGTCGCGCAAGTGGGGAACCAACTGGAGAAATTTTGATTTGATGTGACATTCGATGAGTTTGTTTTTCAAAATGACCGTGCGAATGAACAATTCCTTTGGCTGCATCAGGCGCGCGCACTTGTCGATAAACGAGTCGTGAATACAATTTATGTCCATCACTGCACATACCGACAACACAAAGTATATTAACTTCCTACTCTACTAGACTTTAATGTGTGTGAAAATATAATTCGTTTTTTTTTAATATATGAAGTACCTATTAATGCTTATGTAGATAGGTAAACGATCTGTGCAATTAGTAATTTCGACTAATCATTGTATTTTTGGATGCGAGTAATCAACGAAGTAGGTATGCCTGATATTGTTTTATAAATACATAACACTGAAATAGATTTCATTTTTATTCGATCGTTTAAAACAACTAAAATAACAAAAATACTAGTAAAATCGGAATGAGCAAATTTTAATGTGTAATTCATACACATACACATAGTATTGCGTACTTATAATAATATTATCTATATAAATATAAATATAGTTCATCTGTAATATTATTAAGAAAATTGTATGCACTTATGCATGATAATAATAAATAAAGTATGAATCAATGTGAACTTTGGAATTCTTAAACTCAAAAAATGTTTAATTATTTGTTTTTAAAAATGAAATTGAAATGTATTAATAAATAACATAAAATATTTAAAATAAATTGTTGCCGTCAAAATGACGTTTACATTTTTTTGTATTTATTAAAAGTTTAAATTTGAGACTTATCACTATTAAATATGATATGTTTTTTATATAAGATGCACTAGAATATTATGCAATTATTATTGTAGATATATAAACCATGGTTTGAACAAACTTCAGACGAACGATTGGTATTTTATTATTTATTGTAATAATATGTTATAAGCTACTGAGATAACAATACATTTTTAAATCTGTTTTCCGTGATATTTGTGAGCGGGTGGGTTTTCAAACAAATTCGTTCAAGAAAACGCTATTGTGTACATAACAGATACTAACTGTGTATTCACTAGATCGAAAAAAAAAAGTTTCGATGGGTTACCACTCTTTGTTGTTTCAGCAAGAAAAATGTAGTGTTCAAAGAAAACCTTGCAAAAACTAATTCCCCTAAATCAATAATGTGACTTTGTCTAGAAAAATAAAAAGTAATACCAAGAAATCGCTACTGGATATCGTATAGATATAGAGATGTATTAATTATTATTGTATTTGGGAAAAATTGAAATATTTAAACGATTTTGGACGCACAACATAGTAGCTGTTTTAAATATGTATATACTATAATTTATGTAAATTAAATAATGTACAGGTACTCACCAGACTTTGTTAACGTTACGGAGACGATCAATATGAGAGCCATGGTCACCCCGCAGCGGTGTTGGAAGCTCGTGGGAGCTGCACTCCCCAGAGCCATGTTTAATTTCATCGGCCTGGAAAAATAAAACAAATTTAACGGTAAAATTATAGAAAAAAAATAACTCGTACTGCAGTACTTAACCTCGTACCCGGGTACGGGGTCACATTATGATCGACATTATGGTATTATAATGTATATGTTTATAATGTATATGTTATTTTTGATCAAATTCGTGTTATAACATCAATTTGCGCGTATAAGCTCGCGACGATGGTAATATAACATCGTGCACGCCCCCTCGGGGTGGACCGGAATGTGCACGCGTGTAAACATTTCTCGAATTGTACCATAATGTATAATAATATTATGTAGATTTTACGATTTTCGTTGTCGTGATTTATGTACAATCATTAATGATATACCTTACCTAGTTACCTACACGGTGCGCTTTTCTATCGGAGGACGGCGCGGGTTAGGTACCTATACCGTTATATATTATATTATTGTTATTATATCATGCTGTTGAGACTACAGCGTCGGATTGCTCTATGACCGTATGAGACTCTGCTGCAACAGGTGTGTGTGTGTGAAACTTATAAGTCGGAATGCAAGTGTGGCGGGTCCGTAAGCAGAGGTAAGTGCATCTATATATAGGTATTAAATAATGTGTAATATATCTCGCGGACACACCGGACTAACCAGTCACTGCAGGTTTAACGGCAGTTTTTATCTATATATATATATATATATATATATATATATATACAATACCTATAGGTACACGTATACATTATTATAATATATTGTACTGGACTATGACATAATATAAGGTGGCTGCGACGATGACAGTGTACCCACGAAAATAATAGTGAATCAAACACGATTGGGACGCGCGTCATTTTATCATTTTAAATGCTATAAAGTGAATACAATTACGTTCGACCGAAGCGAAACGATAATAAAACGTATCGCTCCTGTCGTTACAAATGCCGATAAATTTCTTCGTCTATTTCGACATTTTTCATTTTTTTAATAATTCTCAGCAGTATTATTGTTTTCTTTAAATAGATAGATTCATATATTACACTGTTCAACTGTTGTATGAAGAGTGTGTAATACTGTAATGTAATCGTTGAAAAGGCTGCTATTAAGACGTATGTTTTTTTGACTCAAGTTTTCACATCATAGTTTATCAAGTTAACACTTTTCATCTTTCTCTTTTTTTTATTATTAAAAATGAATTATGATACCCGTATTATATAGTTTATTATATTAAACATTTTTACTAAATTTGATATAAAATAAAACTACGAACCGTTCATGGTTCATATTATGTGCAAACAGAAAGTAATGAATATTATAACATTATTATAAATATTTTTTTCTAAGAGGATATAGTGTACTGTATTGAGTATTTCCAAGACTTAAATAAAATACCCCTGTCATTTTAATTTATTTCAACTAAGCTGTTTATATCGCCTAGGAGTTAAATAACACTTGGTGCATTTATTTAATATGAGTAAAGTAAAGCAAGTGTTTATGCACATGAATATTTCAATCACATAGGTCATGTGACTTTATCCCAGGACTATAGAAAAACTCCATCGTCGACGTCGCAGTTATGTCTTGATTTCGTTTTATTTTTTAATTTGGTTCTCTAAGGTTTAGATCATTATAGTATATTAAGCTATTGATAAGTTGATTGGTACGTTATATTTTGAAGTTAAAATTATGTATACTCGTACATAATGCTATCATCGGTGAACGTAATAAATAATTTGAATTCGCCAAAAGACTTGCTAAATCATAGAGGTCAGCCGCCGTCGGGCACGACGGTATAAAAATACGTGTATAATGATGACGATTCAATCGGAAACGGTCTGGTACAATAATAGTAGTAATAATAGTATGGGATACGATATTATTCTTGTTATAACATGGTATATGCGTAATTCACAGTAGTGAACCGTGAATACATCACCGTCGGAAGGTGAAACATAAAAAATGAATATAATATTAGAACCGCGCTCGCCCGTATGCACTCATATTATTTATATCATCGTTATATATTTTTTTTTTTTTTTTAAAGAGAAAAATAACATACCTATATTCTTCACTATACGTAACGTAGTACGGCGTCCGTTTATTACTATTATTTTTTATAGTTTTAATGAATCGAGAAAAACCGAGGTCGCCACATGTATTGTTTTTTAATTGTTGTTATATATTATATAGCTGCATACCCACATACACATGAAGGAAATCACGACGATGACGATGACACTATAATATAATAATATATTGACGAGAGAAAGAAGAAAATTGGATATTCGTGTATGTGTGAAAACACATCTTTATATTTTAAATTTAAATGTAATTATGTTTGTCTCAGTTTGTGCGTCTTTGTAATAATTTATAGGTATGGGTACATTATACATAAGTACACAACCGAACGAGATGAACAATGATTATATCATTATATTTCAAAGATGTAATGCTTTTACTATACTATTTGTCTTACTGGAATCGAAATGGAACCTTGCCGTTTCTGTCGTATTTATTGTATATAATACACCATTTACAATCCTAATTAAAATTATATATAATATTAAATGTTTTGTACATAATATTAGGTCTTTACATTATTCATAGAACATAATATTACTATATTACCATTTAAAACGATTTTATCGTTTTGATAAATTTTTGGTTTTAGAATTTAAAACTATTTTTTTATATTGTAAGCCCGAATTTTAGCATTTTTTAGCAATTGATATGGTTAAAGGAGTTTTCGGAAGTTTCGTCTAGGGTTATTCAAGATTATCTGTAATCGGCGTGACGTAGGTACACGGTAATCGATATAAGTAGTTAATTAACTATTATATAGTTATCAGTTGATAATATAACTTGAATAACATAATGTTATGCAAATAATTTCATGTAGGTGTATAATACATTTTATTCCTACACCACGTTTATAGGGCGCGCACCTATTTTTGTGGTTTTTTCCAAAACGTATCCACATTGCAATAGACGTAAACACTAAATGTTGCGATGCCCACGAAACGCACAATAACGATAATTTATAAATTTAAATGACCATCACATCGTTGAGATTTCGGTACTATAAATAGATACATATTTTTTTTAATAACTCTTACTAGGTGAGATGTGTCGTAAATAGCGTATTTTATGTGTATTATCTAAACACGTGTACTCGTACATAAAGATGGGTACGCATGCGTGGGTACCTAAGCATATATTATGTTGTATTTATACGACAAAACACGTAAAAAAAAATATGTAAAAAAAAAACTACCTATTTAGTCACCGCCGTCGTAATATATATCAAGAACACTTGTTTTCGGCGCTCAGCCCACTCGTCGGCGGTTCACGATGGTTTTTTATATTTTTATGATACATTTTTTTCTACGTCTGAGTTACGACGAACGTCCGTTTACGGGAGGACAATTGATTCTGCTTTCGTTTTCCTATCCGCCGGTGAACTATATATATATAACATACACACCTCCTTCAATAGGCGCCGTCCGTAGGCCGACCGGCAAGGTCGTCGTCTCGACTACAGCAGATGACCGTACGAATAACATAATTCGTTCACAAAAAAACAGAAATTAAATTTCTTTTAACACGTCTTTTTTTTTATCGCTGTTGTTTAACAGCATATGTCATTCAAAGTCGCGATCGTTAAACAGGTAGGAATGTGGGAGATCTACATGTTTTCAAAAAACGGATAACCCATCAATACGAGATCGGCGTGTTTTAAATAAAAATCGGTCAACTACTTGTTAAAATTTCTAATACACTTTATTAGTGTCAGTGTTCTTACTTTGCTGTTTTCTCAAAATCGTTATTAAAGTATTCGAAAAGCAACATCTTCTTACAATAAAATTCGCAGTATTAATTGTTCGATGTATTTATAAACATATCTTGAGAAAACCGTTCTGAGGGAACAATCGTTACGTCTTCGCTACACCGAAGCAGTCTCGTAACTCACAAAAACGTTATAGTGTATTGTAATACTATGATGTTATTTATTGCCTTTGGCGATTATTCGACAAATTTTCGATCGAAACTCGAAAGAAACAGTAGACGTCGTGCGGGCTTTAATTTTTTTCCTCTTAACATATTCGTCCCGTTATTCCAACGGTTCATCTCGACGGTCTTGTGCTTAGGCTATCCTGTTGATGACGATAAACTATGTTTTGAATTATGGACCACACGATGATATGTATAATATTATACGGTGAGTACTGGGTAATGGGTATTGTACAGGTTTACCGTATATACTTATAAAGCAGATAGCAGATGTCTGTCACGTCGTCTGATGTTGAATTTGTATTTATTTCTCTTTATATCCGAGGACCGAGAGTGATCGACGTAAATATCAAATAATGGAATTGCGCACTTAAAGGTCAGGATGCGGCATATTATGTTTCACGTATTAGTTGTACCATTAACAATAACGATGTTTAATATATGAGTAATATTATTAGGTCCGAGAGTGTTGCACATATTATCTTGTATTATTTTTTTGCGGCGAGACACACTATCGGAATGAATGACGTAGAGAGACTGAGAAACTCCTACGTGTGCGGTACCTATTACATTGCGTATAGTGTATACTATATAAATATGTTTATACATATATACATATATTTATTATAACATGTGGCTAATAGCACGTGTGCTAAATTTAATTTCCATATTTACATAATGCATTTTATGTATCCTAAATCATACGATTTTCATACAATAAATATTATAAATTCTAATACATACGAATCATTGTGATGTCATCGTAAATTCGTTTAGCGCAAAATAAAAATGACTGAATAAATTAAAGATTTTCGTTTTAGCCGAAACGTTTATTTATATATTTTTTTTGTTAAAGTGCGTTCGATTCGTTCGATAGTTAAGTATTACTAACATATACTGTATATACTACTAGCTATTTATACTAAGAAAAACTCGTTTTACGTATATATTATACATGTTACTATTACGTACACACCAAAAACGCTGAATATCTATGTGATGATTTTATGAGATAAT